GCTCTCAATGCTTGTCAAGTATAATGCTTGCTACCGGCAGGGCCCCCTAACCAATTGAAGATTCTACATGCCGTTAAAATCCCGGACATTAGTAACCTTGCTGCTGATCCTACACTATTTGCCGTTCTGCCAAGGACAATTGGTAACCGATATTAACAATATCAAGAACCATGGCTTTGGTGACTGTCCCGATACACCGGACGGTGTTCCATGGAATATGAGCTGACTAAGTTATCCCCAGCGCCCGAGTCTCGCGATTCCGATACGGCGGGCATTCGTTACACTACTTTATCCCTTTCGGATGTAAGTCATAGAATAAGTAGGATGCAGATCATTCTTGGACGTAACTGCAGCCTGTTGTCGCGCATCAATTTATCTTACCCCTCAGCCACCTTCGATCTGCCTTATGCAGGAACATGTGCGTTCGATACCAACGTCATCTGTGTCAAATTATCAGCAGCCTTACCGGTCTACCGAAAGACTCAGCTCGACCGAGCTAAACTTCTATGCACCAAAACGCCTCCATGTCGTGCCTCTGTACCGGATCTCTGAATGAGCTCGTTTTCGCGCTTCAGACACCCTATTGGGGTATTCTAGATATCCGTAGCGAATTTCAAATTCCGTGGGGGTTATACGCATAGGTAGACCATGAAGGAGACCCCGAGTCAACAAGTCGTATTGAAGAATGAGCCCTGCTAACACATATCATCTAATAATATCTCTCCCAGTTTATAGGTTACCAAATGGTTTCAGCTGCAGCTTTCCTACCGAGCTCGTGACCATGAATTATTCGCATTGCTACGGTCTAGTCACCCCTCGCACTCACCACTGGTCGCCTTTCTATGCAAAATATAGATTGCGTAACCTCACTCAGTAGTATCCTATCTAGCTCATTTCGCCGCCATTTCCCCTATTTGGAACAATATGCCCATCTCTAGCATGTCAGCTTTATGGACCCCTACCCATTTTCAAATGGTGCTGCATGTCATCATGTTTCATGTTTCGATAGAGGCTCAATCAACAACCAGTATGCAATGTAACATTACCCAAAGATGCGTCTAAAGCGGTCCAGCACGTATGATACTTTGTCATTCGAAAAACTTGACTCCTATTTTCTATATCATATTCTCTCGGGGGTTTCCATTCCCCGTTCAGCAAACTGTCGAATACAAAATGGGAACCTAATAAGGCGTCGTCCCCCCGTTGGCGATCAATTTATGAACTTTGTGCCAAGGCCTATACCCCTCCACAAGCTTGCATGCATTATAATCGCCCGTATTGGTGAGTAGCATCGTCGCCATTCCCGATATAGTGACGGCTAGTGTCATTTACTACTACGCTATTTTCCTTTTTTAAAATTCTCCAAGTTCGAGGGGCCGATCTACCACCTTATCGGACCTGGAATACGGACCCGATAGATTTATAAAAATACCAGAGCCTATCGAAAAAGCACGAGGAACTTACCTGAGGATCATTAGCGTCGTATGCCTATTGTTCCTCCCGTTATTTTTCACCGAGTGCATATCTCTTCAAGTTATAGATATAGGCGATCCCGCACGCAAGGGTAAATCTACTAGGCGCCTCAGATTTTCAGATTATCCTGTCTCATCCACAAAGACTATAACTTTCCCTGGCTCATCCAACATCCCAGCCGTGTTGAGGCCTCCTTAGCCCTTGTCGCTTGGATTCTATCAGGACAGCAAATAGTAGCATTACGTTCCAAGATCTGACAATATTACCTGTTTAGCAGGACAGTCCCGTGTATGGCACAGACGGGAGGATTATTCGAGCCAATTCTCGCCATAGTCTGGTATGGGCTCCATCGGGATTTCTGTTAAGGTAGGGCTAAGCAGGGTCTTTGTGTTTTAAGGCGCACCTAGAACTTGGAGTTCACCTCATGACAACAGGCCTCGTATGATGATAATAGGTCTAATTCAGGTAAATCCCACCGGTAGCCCATGACTACTTACTTATGGACCTAGGTAGATAGCATGGGCGTCACTCACTACCTACCTAATCTAGATACCTATAATAATTCAAGTGGCACTTGAAGAACACTGTCGTAAGCTTTATGCCTTGAACTCGCCCTAACCTGTTAAAAACTGGGCGTGAAACTATACCTCAGTCATGCTGATAAAATACTATATTCCTATTTAATATACCGAGGATGATCGTACCCTTAGGTACCCCTAGTTAGGGCACCAAATCGTGCTCAGTGTAGTGGGACTGACTATAGATGTAACATGAAAGATCTCGAGGACTGTAATATCATAAATTCTATGATTACTCGATTACGAGGCATACCTCGCAAGATCGACTTTGCTAAGAGCGCTGAGTAAGAAACCGCGGAAAGGCTTCCGAAAGGAGCCGTCAGAATCCTTCAGGTGTTAAATGCTCCTACTAATATGACTACCTCGGATTAGAGATGATTATCTAACTAAGGTAGACGTGATCTCGTTTGCCTAAAGTCCTATTGTGTAACACGGCACGGCGCGGATAGTCAGAAACTACTAATTTCTACGGACCAACGGTAAGTAAGGGAGCTTTCTGTTGGTTGAAGTCATATCATGGGCGATCATTGTACTCTATCGTGACATAGAAAGTATATTGCGACAAGCCTGCAAGACGGCGTGGACATGTTGGATTACGACGTTATTGTAGAAATATCGTTATTACTACGACTCCATATATAGAACATCACTTCTAGGCGGGATAAGATGGGCATGGTATGATTTACCGTCCGGAAATAATTGGTATTATGTCGTTTTTCCACTTCGTCGACAACACCTGGCCTGAATAATATTTCTTACCTTAAGGAGTATGATGAATTACCTAATGGAGTTCTTATGACATCCGGAGCAGTTGTAAGATAGGACTATGAGTAGGGCTTTTGAGGGCCAAAGTAGTGAGATGACTTGTATGTTGGTTACCTAGGAGGTTTGGCTCAGCATGTTTCCATGTTAGTTGCAGGAATAGTTATAGGATTAAGCACTTGATCGGAATACAAATTTAGAAAGTAGCCCTTACAATAGAACGAAACTATGCTACTCTAAGAGTTCCTTGGATTGATCATAACTGAGCCTTGTAAATTAAATTCCCAAGTAAATTTTAGTATACCTATCTGCATATTGAATCCGGGAATATGGATAGCTAATGCTGTGTCGAGGAAAAGATGATCTTGAGATTAAGTCTTGAAATCGCCAGAGTAGACATGATGAGCTCAACAGAAATAACTAAAAAGAGAATACGTCAACACACAAGCTTAAAGGGGCTCACTTACGTTTCTTCGTCATTCGCCTTCCCGTACAAGTCAAGATTTACCTGAAATATGACTGCCGCACTCCCAATGCATCATTTCCGGGGAAGGGGGAAATTCTACGTAGCCTACAGGCCTTTATTAGAGGCGGCAATCGGCCCGCTAATTTGTCTAAGGTTCTAAAGCTGGGTGCTGCAGCTGTTTGCTGTTGCTAAGCAACATCACGTACCCCGCTGTCGACTTAAATAACCCCTTAGGCAGCTGTTCTTTCACCCCTGATCAGTGCTGCGAAACCAACATGGCCGTGGTGTAGTGGTAATGAAGTAGGGATAGAAATAATTCCTCGAGGAGTTTTTCGTAGGGCTTGGGTTCGATTTCTATGAGGGGCGGCAAGTAGGCCAACTTGTTCTGGTCAATCGATTCGGGTCGAATTTTGAGTCTTAGCTTTTTTGTCTTTTTTCTTTTATTTTCTTCTTTGTGGTATTTTCTTTACCTTTTATTATCGCAATTCTGATATTCTAAACTACAATATTTTTTAGGTCTTCCCAACCATAGCGGAGGAGGGGGGTTTGGGAGAATGATTCCATAAATATGAAACTATTCCATATATAAAAACTATACCATATGATGGTAACAACGGAATCAGCTTGGTGCATTCCAACATCGTGGAATGATTCCAAAACGCGGAATAGTTTCGTAAAATAGAACGATTTTGCTATTCACGTGACTTTCACGTGATTTTCACGTGAAAAAGTGGGGTAAAAGTCGAAAAAGTCAAAAAAATTAGAAAAGACCGGTCCTCGAACCCACAGCTTTCGCGTCTGTGTAACCGTAAACCCCACAATTAATTAATAAGGTTTAAAGTTTAAACGTTTGAGCTAATGGGACGAGGTGGCCAATCTCATCGAATTATTTCAGGATGCAATTCATTTGATTTTAGTCCTTATAACCTTTACTTCGGACAAAGTAAAATTTTGACTTAAAGAAAAAAAAAATTTTATAAAAATTTTTTTTATTTTTTTTTATTTTTTTCTAAGTCAAAAGTCGGGCAATCGTTCCCAAAATGGGAACGATTATATAAGATGGAATGGTTTTACGGTTATAGAACGGTTCCTGTAAAATAAGATTTTAAAAGTGGGACCAAGACCCACTATTTCCAAATTCTGACCAATCAGAGCCCTTAAAACCCAAAAACGTTGCGCCATACGGAACCATTCCAGTTTTGGAATCATTCTCCCAAACCCCCCTCCTCCGCTATGGAACTTTACCTACCTACCTGATATCTCCTTCTTATTAATAGCAGGAAATAAGTCATGCTACGCAAGCATTACGACATTCACTGAAAATAATCGAGTAGGCTAGATACTTGGCCGAAAACGACAAGAAGTCGCGTGTCTCCCCGTACATAAATAAATACGCTTTGATCAATCTCAGGGGTTGATCTTAACGCCACAAATGTAGATCACTGTCAAGTCATTTTCAGCTACAAAACCACGGGTGCGGCTGACCGGAATACAACACAAAGTACCCAAGTTAGATAGTTATTTTCTATCGTATTGTACAAAGAGCAACGGTACCCGGGGCAACCTCCCATTGGATATCCAAATAAAGCACATTTTGTTACCCCCTTGTAGTAAAACACACTTATTGCCATCCATCGACATGCTAATCGCTAATCAAAAACCCACCTGGAGCATCAAGCTCACATAATATTAACAGCGAGCCTGAATAATCTCACTTTATCTAACCAAGTATATATCCATGACCCAGATTTGCTCTCCTGGACCTGGGAATTAGAGATTTCAAGGGGAAGAGGAAAGACTGAATCAAATCTTACCTCCGGCACGAATTAGTAAACTGTGCGTAGTTCCCCTTACTGCGTTATCAACGTCCTAGTCCGAATATCCCACCGTCGACTTCAACAACGGCACGGCCTTCGCCCTTCTCGGCCTGAGGTAGCACATCACGCCGCAGCTCCGACAGACAAGCGTTTTTTCGCCGTGGACACACAAGCAGTCGCAAATCCAGAACCGGTCGTCGATCCGCGTGATCAGCTCGTCTCCCGGTTTGTGAAAGCCGGACTGGATACCACAGCCGATGCAGAACCGCCGCAGATTCACTACCACCGACCCACCTAGTGCAGAGGCGGGCAGTTCAGCTTGCAGCTGCTGGTCGATGGCAAAGACGCTCGCGGGAAGGATTTTGTAACACATGAAGCAGCCGAGGCTGGACGGCCTGCTGCTGTAGTGCCGGTAGAAGTCGCGTTCGGCGCGTAGCACGAACGAGAGCTTCGTCTCGTGGGGTGCCAGGCGCGGGTCGACCATTTTATTGAGTGCCTTCGATACCCAGGAGAGGTAAATCAGGTTTTCGTACGGGACGTACTGGCTGATTTGGTTGATGATGTCTTGAGGGAGGATCTCAAGATGGCAGAGACCCTTGGACAGTGGGAGCTGCACGGTGATGGTGTTGAGGTACTGACGCAGGGTTCTTTTCGAGAATCGATTCGCCGACACCGGGAGCATAGTGGATGGGTTTTGTTTCCGACCTCGAGCTCGCCGTTGTAGATTCTGTTCGTGCTTTGGTTGGAATACCGGTAGCGGACGGCGTTTTTCATTCTGGGTTCCAAAATCTATGACCCTCGTAAAGGGTTGGACGTACTCCGAGCGGTCTTTGATTGCCATATTGAGGATGAATTACTTGTAAGTGAAAGAGATAATATTCTAATAAAACGGCTAAGGAGTTCTCGTAAGATGAATATCTTCATGAATAAAATAAGACACGGAACTGGTGAGGTGGAGAGCGGGTTCGTCTAAGACGTTCTCATGAGACCTACGCTCGAACTTATATCCTGCAGCCCTAACCAGCAGGACTATGGGTTTTCTGGAAGCTATTAGCCGCATGTCACTAGTGAAACACTCTGTTCTGGGGAATAATCAGGATGTTCTGAAAGGCAGGCTAGAAACAATGGGACAGGATGTGTACTCACATTCAGCTTGGCTAAGACAATACAACACTTTGAGATGCAGCTGCATTTCCAAATCTGCCACCCTGCATTTTAGTATTGAGATATAATAATATTAACAGCGGTAGTTCTCTGTTGTGTCATTCCTCATTTGTTTCAACTAGGATCTTGAAGCCGTAGGCAACCCTAGCCAAGTACTCCTATGTATAATGAATTCCCCATCTCCATGCTCGTAACGCCATCGAGCCACGTTACATACGATCGTATGGAGTATGTTATACTGTGAAGTACATGTGAGAAATGAGCGGACGTTGCGCTAGTGACTCTTTGGAGGGGCCCCGGAAATCCCGCGGTTGGCATTTTACTACCTAGCTGCACGACACCATATAGAGCAGCATGCAGATATCGGTACAGTTAGGGCTACGGGGTGTGCAGCCTATTGGACAAGAATACATCTAAATAGTAGCAGTAACGCCCCTCGGTAAGGCTTGTAGGGGTAGCTGGAGGCTTTTGTGTCATTTTCATCTGCTTATTTATAACGGACGTGAAAATGACAAGGAAGAGTATATGACAGGTGATAACTTATCTCTCAAACATTCAAGGTTGCTGTCAATCGTTCCCAAACCAGAAATTGATAATTTCATATAAGATCTAAATCGATCTACCTTAGGTACCTAACCTTAAGACAGTGGCTGGATTGGATCAAATTCCTTCAACGCCACAGCATAGGAAAGATTGATGAGCCTACACAGTTAGCAATGTAGGTCCGTAGGATAACAAGACAAGTCCTTTAAAAGACATCAAATAACTTCAAAGTAGTAAAAGAAAAGTCGACGTGCCTAAGGCCATTATATACGATCTAAACTGGTGAGAATTCGACTGTCATAGAACCAGGGTACTGCAGTATGATATGTCATGGCTTCAGTATCCGGGGGGTCACTTGACGAGGGGCGCACGCGTGTCTAGTTGTATGGCAGCCTGGAGGCTATGCTTTGCCTAGAAGTCTCGCCCGCCCTTTTGGGACTTATTCGTAAGGTCTCAACATTGCTTTTTAGTCGTCATCCCGAAGCTTGGACCTAATATTGATTGGGTCTCGTTGTTTCTAAGATGAGACGAAAGCTACCCAGTATTTGGAGAAGCATGTGTTCACCGTAAGTTCACCTTTCCGGAAACAGGTAAGATGAAGCGTGACGGGCCAATCGAGTTACATACCGATTTCTAGTGAAATGCTGACAGACTGTAACGGTACCGTGGCCCGCATCTTTAGGCCGTGCAAATCGGAATCGATCTCAGATATCTCCGCGGGAATCCCTACAAGCACGTTGGGATCTCAAGCGGTCAAGATCAGATCAGATCAGTACGTCAAGATCGATGTATTAGCCTTCAGTTATGGTAATTCATGAACTCCAAAAACAGACGGGCCAGATTCCTATTAACACCATCCATATGAACTTCGTCGCTTGACCTGGTCATAGAAACTTAAGGAAAGAGTTAAGCTAAGTTTGAATAGATGTAAGTTAGCACAGTACGAAATCAATGATAACTTCTCAACCCGACTACTTATTCAACACGTCCGGATTCAATACAGTATGATAGAGGAACTAAACGAAGGATGCATGGACGTATCCGCGATGAGCAGGGATGGTACAGGAGAGAGCGGGCCAAGATAGGTGTACATACCAAATAATTCATCTAAGTTGTCAGTTAGCCAAGAGTACGAGAGTCCAAAACTGCAAGATCAGCAGAATAAGGTTGGAGTCGTGATTTCAACACACTTACATAGGAAGAAAAGTAATACTGCTAAGCCATCAAGTTGCCCGCAAAAAAAGGTAATTAATTAGTAGAAACGTGTGGGGTTGTTGGGTGGTTAGGTCGTTGAAGGAAGCTCGGTATTAGGGATAACTACAGGGCTACAGGACTATCAACTAGCCCTACAAGGCTAACGCTGTTAACCCTATTTATATTAGGTACCTAGGTAAATACTATCACTGAGACATAGTGATATGGTATTACGGGCGGGCTGTAGTGAGTCCACCAGTACCTGGCAAGACCTGAGTCTACTCAGCTACAGTCTGTGTATCACGGCTATCAATATCCTGTACGAACCACGACACTCGGATGAAATTGTGAGATGTTGATGGAAGTCGCATAGAAGCATCGCTTATAAATACGCCGATATTGAATATACTCGTAAAAAGGCGTCTGCACTGCAGAGCTCACCCCTTTACTTTAGGTAGCCACAACAAATATGTAATAAGTCTCGACGCTAATCTACAATGAGAACATGTGTTAGACATAGCCTGCGACGAATTTTTAATTTTTAACTCGTCCACTTTACGGCTATGGTGATCTGAGGTTAGTAATGTTCAAGTAAATTAGTAAAGATTGGTGTTTGGTACTGCCTATGGAGAAGGTCTGTGAATGATAGAAGATGAAAATGGAACACGGACATGGATAGCCTTTTACAGTCGACAAATTCAACGCCCGAAGCCATAATTATACAAGATAACATTTCGTCACGGAGACAGATCGGGTATAATACCAGGGTACCTATTGAGCAAATTCTTCCATCACGAATGAACAATCTCCGTGCTCCGTATATGTTTAGGTAGGTTTTAGAACAAGTCTCTTAAAGCACAGACAAGAACATGCTAGGTACCTAATATAATTTGGACTCGCCTGCTATGCCAAGTATTAGGAAGTAACAGATTAGCTACCTAGGTATGAGGCTTGATCTACAATAATCGAGGCCCGTTCCTGAAAGGTATGACTCGTACTTAAGAATTTATATCGATAAAATATACAGACATAATTGGAAGTACGTAGGTAACTACTATATGCCCTCCAATTCCAGCGACTTACACAGTTAATTTAGTACAGTGATATACCCGATCAAATTGTAAAGCGAGGTGATTAGGAGGAGGTTAAAATATTATATTTCTTTTTGTCAAAATAAGTACCTCTTACTTACAGTATACTATATAGCTTGCTAGCATTGAAGACAGAGTATTATATGTTTGTAATGAAAGGTTTGTTGAATATGCATGTGGCATAGGTGAGAAACTATATATAAACCCCCTGTTTCTTCTCTCCCGAAAGTTAGATGCATGAAATACTCGCCAGGATGCACGTATCCAAAAAGCATACACGCAGTTGCTAAAAGGGGAACAGATGTACTTCGCAATAATACGGTATATCTCTGCCCCTTCGAGATAAAAAATAGCTCTCTGCTCATCTGGTCATTGTAATAGTCTCGCGTAGACCAATGCTGCGTCTGGTTTTGACTGTTCTTAACTATGTAATTCTCAAGTTAGTTTTTAGGTTGAGAATGTGAAGGCTCATGATATTGGATGTGATAGTGACCACGTTGTTATTGCTACCAAAGCAAAGGGTTTCCCGAAACTTATATTAATACTGTATTTACGACGGATGAAGTTATATTCACGATCGGAATAACCCTATCAACTATTGATTCGCCAGGAGTAAGGATCATAGGGTATGACGAGTCTTAGACGAGCACGTCAATTCGGAGTTCGGAATCCTTCCTGTTTAGGCTGGTTCCCGTTCGGAATCAGAATGCGCTAACGAGGGAGTAAACAAGTTTCAGTTGCTGAGCATTCCTTCAGATTGTCATCTTAAATAATCTTACATCTGATCAAGAAGACGCGGTTTGAATCGATTGAAGGTATCATGATATTGAAGGTTTTCCGATTTGAATAATATAACGATGGGTGGCGACGAGCTTCATCGTCGGGACTCGGATGAGATCACCATCACCGAGACAGCCCCCCTGTTGACAAACGAGCGACCAAGACGGCCGTCACATCGCCAGAGGCTATCGGTTACATCGATTACAAGTGTTCATGTGCCCAAGGTACATAGCGGGCGCACGATTGTAAACCTGCTCTGCCTTATTATCCTAATATCGTCCTCCTCAACTGGGCTCATCGGAATACCGGAAACCCGTCTGTTAGAGGACGCAGCATGTCGGCAGTACTACGGTCTCGATGGGAGCACATCTGACCCCATCGACGAGAAACACTGCAAGGAGAACGCAATCCAGAATAAGGTAGCTTTCATCTTGGCTATTCAGAGTAGCGCCGATGCTGCCGCCGGATTCCTCGCCGCGTTTCCCTGGGGTCTCGCAGCAGACAGGTGCGTAGAGTAGAACAGTTTGATACTCAGCTTATCAACTAGACTAACTCACACAAGAATCGGACGAAAGCCCGTAGTCGCTCTCGCTCTAGCCGGATCTCTTCTCGGGATTATTTGGGCCATGACGGTAGTATATTTCCACAACATATTCCCTGTCGAGCTGATCTGGCTCGGGTCCCTGGGCAACTTCCTCGGCGGTGGCAGTGCGGTTATTTCCGGGATCGTATTGAGTATGATCGCTGATTCGACGACCGAAGAAGAGAGGTAGGTAGGTACCTAAGTCTTACACGAGGATCGAATGACACTCATAACTCATGACTTATAGAGCTATTGCATTCATGCGTGTCCACGTCGCCAGCCTATGCGGGAATCTTGGAGCTCCAGCACTTTCTGCCGTCTTAATGGCCAGGGCGGGACCATGGCCGCCGATCTGGATTGCCTTTGCCGTCACCGCACTAAGCGGCATTGCTTTCCTCTTCGTTCCAGAAACGTTAAAGCATCAGCCAGGCCAAGAACATGGCCATGAACTGGAATCGGTAGAATATGAAGAAGAAACCACAGACCTCAAGTCACGGGTATCGCATGTCATCACCCAGTTTAAGGAGTCGCTCTCAATGCTCAAGTCCACATCCCTCATCCTTCTTCTAATAACATGCCTTGGAACCCCGCCCGTTTCGTATGCGGCGCTTCAGTTTATGGTGCAATTTTTGTCAAAGAGGTACGGCATCGAGCTTTACAAGACGGGCTACATCCAGTCTACGTATGGAGCCGCCCAGGTTGTTCAAGCCCTCATAATTCTACCATGGGTTACCGGATATGTCATGAAAGACACAACACCTAAAAGGATCCGAGCGCCCGACGAGCATCATCGTGACCTGTCCCTGGCGCGCTGGTCATATAC